TCATTTTGTCCTGAGATTTCGCAAAGAGAACCTCCCACTCGTGTTCACTGAGGGTTACTCCAAGGTACATACGCATCTTAAATGTAATGGCGTTTTTGGACTAAAACCATTGCGCTTTTTTTTTTTTTACTGGCCCTGCTCCGGTGCTTTGAAGTACTGCTTAACACAAGAAATGTATCTGCTGGAGTTTCCTCATCCATGCCCCACCTGCTTAACTTTTATTTGGCAGGGAGTCAGCAACCTTGTTTGGGCCAGCTTCTGTTCTTTCCAGAACAATTTTGCTGAGGCTTTACCCTGTGACTCAGAATTATTTGTCTCCCACTCTGGTACACCTTTAATCACCTCCCAAATCTGTCTCTGCAGCAGAGGTGGAGAACCTCAGGCCCAGGAGCAAAAAGTGCAGCCCTCTCTGCCCAACCCTCTAGACACTCCCCCAGCCAGATTCCGCCCCCCCCCCCACCCTCCACAGTTTTGCATCCATCCCTCTTGCTTGCCTGCAGAGAGGATGGAGAAATGGTGTGCAGAAACCTCTGACTTTTGCAAAGGGAAATGTCCCACCAACCAGTATCTGGCCCTGCCCACCACTGACATATGGCCCCCAGAAGTCCCCCCTCAACAGAATGTGCCCTGAAAAATGTTTCCCACCACTGATTTACAGGCTTCACTTTGCCTTATGGTAAGCCTACTCCTGATTTCAAGTATTATCTGTCTTTAAAGTATAGCAAAAGCAGTTGTTTTTTATCTTTCTTGGTTTAATGCACAGAATATACTTACCCTTCTAGTACCCAATCCCCTTACTTTGCTGTTGCATGCCATGTGAGTCAAATATCCACCCATCCTTAGCAGGAAAAGAAAATTCTGCAAAATTCTAGAGATCAGATCTCAATAGAGACCCATCTCAAAAGTGCTGACAGCAGCCCCAGCACAAGCTGGGAACTGGTGGAGCCTCGGAGTCAAGTTATTTTTCATGCATTAAATGGAAAATAAACATTTGAAACAAATTCAGTATTTCGCTAGTGTGCTCTTCCAAAGTGTCTGCCTCACCTCCGTTTCCTTCCTAGCAGGGCATCCAAAACTGTTCTAGTGTGCTCCTTGTGAAGGCTGATTGAGAACTGGCAAAGGGAGAAGAACAGAGACGCTCTTTCAGACCAACAGTGAGTTCAGAATGGACAGGGCTGTGCTGGCTTTGGGGTAGCTAGTGGGATATGGTGGAAGGCAGGGAAGCCAATGATAGGTAGAGTGAGGGCTAATGACAAGCAATGCAGCCCTCTGACTGGTTGTAAGAAAGAATGTGAGGGCTTGCTGAGAACACACTTTGGTTGGTAGGACAGTGCCCCACTTACTGTAATGGACCAGCCTCTACTGCTTCTGGGTCTAATTCAAATTGTTGGCCTTCTAAACCCTAAACATTTTGAAACCAAGGTCCACCTGCACCCAGAGCACTGCAATCAGGCTTGTTTCAGCTTTCTTCATCCAATAAGGCATGTTCCCTATTTGCCAAACTAAGGAGAATTGCAACAGAGTTATATTGCTGTGTGAGCCGGATTCTGTAGTCCACTGAGTGCCCTACAAACTGCCTGCATCTTTTAACTTTCCTGCCAGGGAGCCTAAAAAGTAGCTTTCCAAGAGGGCTTCCGTCCCAGATTCTTAGCTCCCCTGACGACTGGAAAAACAAATTGCAACAGAGTTAACACAGCCAGCGGCAACCATCTCGCATTCACGGGTGCTGACAAGTCAGACTGACAACCAGGAGGTTCCCTACCCACAACACAAGCAGTCATTGAGGATGCCCTGGGCTTTCCCAGGAGGTGTGGCTTAGGGCACGGGGCACTTTATTGGCAGTAAGAAAAGCGCCTGGGCAGTTCAAACAGAGTCTGGGGCTGAACTGAGTGATAGTTTATAATTTTGAGACATTCTCTAATCTGGGAAACCAGTCAACCCTTCCTCAGAAATTGGGGATTTGTGGACATGCCCTCAAGTCACACAGGACTGCTGGAGCAGAGGAATGCCTGTTGTATAAATTGTTGGCTGAGTGCAGATTACACAACGTGTTTCGTGCCAGGCCTCATTCTGTGATTTAGACTAATGGCCTCCGAATCATTACATCTTGCCTGACTCCCAAATACTCCATGATAAGGAGCACAGTTCAGTGGTTGTCTGGTTGACAACATACTTGGCATGTAGAAGGTCATTTTATTTTATTTTTTTTATAAAATTTTTATTTGGTTTTCTGCTTTTATAAAGACAAAACATACACAAAGAAAAAACAAAGACAAAAACATGTATAAAATCAGCAAATCCCCATTTCATAACCTTGTTCCCTGACTTCCCCCCACCCCCCCTAATGCATCCCAATTTCAAGATTATATCAGCAAGTTGATATTTCTCCTCTTAACAATCTTATTCATCTTATTTCCTTTTTTTTTATAATAAAAATTAGTTTTCATAAGTTGGACTTAAGTTCTCTTCCATCGATTTTCATTTTATCTTAATTAAAAGTCATCTTAACCAAACCTAAAAGTCTTGAGAGTTTTTAAGAGTCTCTTCTTCCCTCCCTCCCATCCCCGGTTTTTGTCCCTTCCCAATAAAAATCCAAATTCGAAGTTCTCAGCCTGGGTTCCTCACGTCCGAGGCTTTCAAATCTATTTCCGTTCCTCTCCGCCTGTCCTGTTGGTAGTCCTTTACAGCAGTCGTCAGATCTGGGAAAAGTTCTTTCACCATCAAAGTATGTCCTCCTCCAACAAGAAGATTCAAAGGTGGCTGCTGAAGTATTTCCACAAAGTCTATCTCTTCCAAGTCTAAGTCCAAACGGAGGCCCCAATCATATTTCTTTATTTTAAATTCCTGTACTCCATTTTGTCTTGGGGCCTCCTCCTTCTTCTTCTGTATCTCTCGCAGACTTGTGGTGAATATGTTCCCAGCGTCTCCTTGCTTGTATTCCACAGATGTCAACTTTTGGTTATTACTTCCCAGGATTACTTCTTCTTTTTCTTGTTGTTTAGTCTCTTCCAGCTCTGTAGATATTGTTTCCCAATCAGCTGTGGATTCTTTCTCATTAAGGTCCTCAATACAAAGAGCAGAGTTGCCTGTTCCCAAGGTCATAGTCTCAAGTTGTTTGTTCATGGCCAAACTCTGCTCCTGTAAGATTCCCACCAATTGAAACATCCTTTCGATTTCCACTAGTAACCTTCCTTCCACAGCCATTGTATCCATTGTAGTTTCACAGAGTTCCCCCTAGGGGGAATCTGGTTACTTATTTGCCTTTTCACCAACAATCCTTAAACTGATTATTATTACTTTGTTTCCAACAGTTTCAGCTCAATTGTAACTCGTCTTAGTCCATAAAAATCTTAAATGGCAATTTCTCACTTTAAACCGCCCGTTTGGCAGCTTTGACAGCTGTCAAACTCCGCAGCTCTAACGCAGGCACGAAGGCAGGACGTTCCCGAGCCCGGGAGGGGGGGTTGTTTAAAAAAGAAGGAAGGTTTCCAAAACTCCACTCTCCTGCACAAAATTTTCCTTTAGTAAAATCTTGAAAGTTAGTGTCCTTTTTAACTCACCCCACCAAGGGTAGGCTCTCCAGCTTATCTCTTGTGTCGTTGCTTAGATGGTCTGCAAGGGGGGGGTGCGGACTTCCTTTTAGCACACCCCCCGGTCGTCTCCAATTTAAGGTAAAATTTTTCAAAAGTCCCAATCCGTCTTACTCACGGGTGATTCTTTCAGTCCAAATTTTCAAGGAAGGAAGTCAACGCTCTCCGGTCATGGCTCGCGGCTTCGCTCCACCGAGGTAGCGATCGACTCTCAGTGCCACGCCACCCCCGTATCCCCTCCGCAGCCTTTAAAAAGGCTCTTTGCGAATCAGGGGGGGCGCTTAAGGCACCCGCCGAGTCTTCAGTCCGCAGGCTCCGCGCCTGCGGTTTTTAAGGGTCCCCGCGTCGCCGGCGCGGCAAAGACCCATCCTCAGTGGAGCCGATTCCCTCCGGAGCTCGGAGGGAATCCGCCATTTCCAGATCGCGTCAACCCGGAAGTCCCCCGGCATGTAGAAGGTCATTTTAGGCTCACCTGGAAAGGGAAGAGCTAGGAAAGTCTGCAATTCAGAATTCTGGAGAGTGTCTGCCAGGCAGCATAGAGCATCTGTGGCTACCCTGTGGCCCTACAAATGTCACTGGACTCCAACTCCTACCAACCCCAGCCAGCATGACCAATGATCAGTGATGATGGGATTTGCAGTCCAGAAGGCCTCCCCATGTTGCGCCCATGGTGCTGAACTATAGCTCCCATCGTTCCTCTCCAATGGTGTACTGGCTGCAGCCCATGGGAGTTGGAGTCCAACAACAGCTGGAAGGTCAAAGGTGATTTAAACACCTTTTTTCAACATAGTCAACATGGACAGCTCCCCGGGGTCATCCTGCGCACAAGCAACAGAATGAAACAGTCGGAAGAGGTGGCAGGGACTGCACCGCTTCCGACGGCAGATTGCCTTTTCCAAGGCACATATTCTGACAAGGAAGCAATGCGGAAGAAGAGCTGGGCTCGTTTTCAGCCCAGCGTGCAAGTTTTCTATTTGCAGGGAGTTGTGCGTTTGTGGGTTTCCACGTGGTTGAAATGTGGTGGTGCTTTTAAAGGGGAGGGGAGGCCGTTCTGCCACCTCGCTCTCTTGCACCTGTAGATCTGGCCGCTGTTGGGATGCGTGAAGGCCTGGATTGGTGCCCAAACTTACTCTGGGGATCTGTTTCCACGAGCGGGGCTGAGCGACGAGGACAGGAAACTGTCGTGAATCCTGTGCTCATTTTGGACAAGAGAGCGAGGCTTCTTCCGGGACAGGGGGCCTGGGGCTGGTCTTCTTCTCCGGGCAGCTGAAGTTCAGGGCGCCCCTTTTCCTGTCCGCTGAGCCCGGGCGAGGGACCCCCGAGGCGTCTCCGGCTCCGCTCCGCGCTGCCCGCCCTGCGCGCGCTCCCTCGGCCCCGCCCGGCACCTGCCTCCTCCTCGCAGGCCCCGGCCCCGCCCTCGCAGCCGGGCAGCCACCGCGGGCGAAGGCGTCTGTTAGCAGCGGCGAGCTGTTGGCGAAGGAGCGTGTGGTGCCGCTGCTGCAGCTGCGAGAGAGACGCCGGCCATGGGGAGAGTGCAAGGAGGGATGCGCTGCGTCAAGTTCCTGCTCTTCATCTTCAACTTCATCTTCTGGGTCAGTGCGGGGCGATCGCGGCCGGGGAGAACGAGCCGAGGAGCAAAAGGCGATCGGGGACTACGGGGCTGTGGGAAGCAGTGGTCAAAGAAGCGGGGAGAGATTGAATGGGATTCAGAATGCCCGGGAAAGGCGAGCAGTAAGGTCTGGTGATGGGGCAGAGAGAGGCTGTTTCATAGATCGTGGAGCTGGGACCACGGGGGTCATCTAGTCCAACCCCCTGCGATGCAGGGCTCTTTTGCCCAGCGCAGGGCTCAAACTCACGACCCTGAGATGAAGAGTCTCATTCCCTGCTAACTGAGCTTTCCCGCGCCTCCACTTCATCGGGAAGAGCAAACAGAGTAAGCCTTTTGCTGTCAGCTAAGAATCTTGCTCCTTCAGGCTGCAAACCGACACGCTTACGTACGTGCTGATAAGCTGTAGCACAATCCCAGCCAGCCGGGTTCTCTCTCCCCCTTGACCATCCTTCGTTGCACAACCCCCTACTACATGCCACCCTTCATGATCTCTTGAGCCTGCTAGAGCGAAATTGCAATAACATGGGCTGGTGTGCAACCGCTCTGCCCTGCGCATCCCTCTGCTTCTGATCACGGGGAGGCTAACCTAACAGCTGCTAGATATGTGGGATATTTCAGTGGGGAAGGACAGGCTTCCTTTCTCCATCGGATCCTCTCTTTTGTAGATACTCTCTTTCTGCAATGGCTGTTTTGTGCAATCAGTTTATGCAGCTATCAAAGTGGGGAGCAGGCAGGTACAAACTGATCCAAAGGAGATGAAGCTGAGGTGTTCTAGTGCAAAGTGCCGTGTGAAGTTAAGTGTGTTTTGAAGGAAGCAGTGTGTTACGGATCATCTGTCATCCTCATCTAACCCATGATATCTCAGTTACAGTAAAAAAACATATTGAGTGACTGAGTTACCTTTGTTAGAGTGTCTTTTCTGCATACGATCATCTTTTGTCTTTGGGGCAGATGAGATCATCAGGCCAGGAGAAGTGTCTGTCTGCAACCCTCTTGTGGGAAAATGCCTATAACTTGCAAATTGTCTGCACCTACGGGCTGGCCATATGGTCACAGGTTCATGAAGCCTAGTGCCACATTAAAAGCAAGTCAAAAAGGCTGGAATCTACAAAAGCACAAATGCTTTTTGCCCCAATAAGCAAGTGATTGTGATGGGGTTTAATGTCTTGCTCCCCTCCCCTGTGGGACATCAACCATGAAACCACTAACAAGTTTCTTAAATAACACTGACATGTGAGCATTGGTTAGAATTCTGTGAGCTTTTCTATTTGTGTCTCCGAGATGTGTAAAGCTTTGTGGCTTCTTGAACCATTTCCCCAGAGATAAAGTGTTACCCCTCGCGTGTGTCGTGGATCCTTCGTACGTTTGGTCAAAAATGTACCGGTATTTGCAGCATTTGTGAGCATCCACCCTGTGAGCGATGATTAATGCAGGCCTCTCTTATTTGTGGCATGAGTGTGGACACCACTATGGCTCTGCGTGGAAGACCTCCCTTTGTATCTGTAGAATGCCCAGAATGTTTTAAGCTGGAATTTCCAAGCCAAGTGCAGTACTCTGTGAATACATTTCAATGTCTATCATATTATGGAGCATGACACGATGTGTGGCTGTAGTTGATTAGTAGGGAATCTAGCCTTTCTTGGTTGTGATCTCCTGAACCTGTATACAATAAAGGCATTAATGGTTTGCCAGTCCGCTGCAGCGTGTTCCTTTTGTTCCAGATGTACTGAGGCAAATCACTTTTGCAAATATTAAAAGCAGAGGATATCCAGATAAGCAAGCAAGCTGCTTACCGACTCTTGTGCAGAATAGTGTAGAGAGCACAAGTGATAGGCGATAATTGTTAATATATTCTGACAAGCAATATTACAATATGCACTTTCTTCTGGTGGCTGTCAGAGTTCATGCAAATGTACAGAATCTGCTCCCTCTTATCTTTTGCTATTGTTGATGCATCACGGGAGGCAATTGCACTCCAGTGCTGTGGAGGGGAAGGGTGCAACTTCAGAAGAATTCAGAAAAGCAGAAGCAACGGGGTGGGAGTTTTTGACATTGAGGTCACAATCATGGGGGAAGGGAAGCCTTGTTCTTTTCCACCCCCTATTTTGCTTAAATGGCTGCTAAAGATTCCTTGCTTGAGTGGTACCAGCTGAGAATATTCAACCTCTGAATAATGTCTTTAGCTAGAACCATCATCTGAGCAGGAAAGGTAAATTCCCAGAGACTGTCATCTAAAAAGGCCCTAAAACATAGAATCATAGAGTTGGAAGGGACTCCAAGGGACATCTAGTCCAACCCCCTGCAATACAGGAATCTCAACTAACGCATCCATGACAGATGACCATCCATCTGTCATGCCACTGGGAAAGGCCTCTATTAAAAATGGCAGACCCTAAGAGATTTGCTGCCCTCCTCGATCACCCTCCTTCTGATGTATCCCCTGTGTAACACCAGCAGCAGCCTGCCCACTTCTTCCCCATCACTGACTGGACAGGCTATACGTGAGAGGTCGCCAACTGTTTTAGGCACAGGGACACATTTTTGAGCGAGTGAATAATATAATTGTAGAGTTGGATGGGGCTCCAATGGTCATCTAGTCCAACCCAACCTTGGGCACTGCTCTCTCCCTGTGACTTCTTGCTCCCTTCCCATGGATTGGCTCCTCTTCTCACCACTTGAAGACCATGCCAAGCTGAAACTTGGATTCAGTTGATTTAATCTGAGCCGTGCAAAGCACATAGAGCTGAAAGACAAAGTTCCTCCTCTTTTCAAGGCAGAAAAGGGTGACCACTCACCAAGAGGGGCAATGAATGGGGGTGGGGGACACTCAGAGGCTTCATGGGCACTTGGAAATACCTTCAAGATGCCCTTGCATTGGTGACCCCAACCATACATGCTCCCTTGGTGGGCAGGATTGTTGTGGAAGCCTGGCAAGATGAAAGCCAAACAGTGCTTGCAGCTAGCTTTGACCAATACAGCTAGAAATGAGTTGTCTTTTTCACCATAAGGAGAGCCTGTGGACTAATTATGTCTGGTTGGCCAGCAGTTTGTTTAAATCTGCATTCAAGTTGCTGTTTGGCTGACTGGGCTAATTTATCAATAATTTGCTTTTGAAGATGGCAACAATCTTTAAAAGGTTTGCTTGTTCCGTTGCCTAACATATTATTTGGAGAACTGGGATCTTCTTTCTTAGAAGTAGTTTTCAGTTTCAGCATCTCTGGTCACATGGTGAAAGAAACTATCACTGAGGGTATTGTAGGCCATGTAATGAATACAAGTTTGCTCTTTATCTTGTTAACCATAGCTTCTCATATTTGTGTATTAAGCATACCAGAATCTTGTGCTCTGCTGCACACTGACAAGAGTCTTTCCATTAGTAGAGATGTTTAGCCCTGAATTCCAAAAGAATAACATCACTTTAATTGCTGGTACTCTAGTTTATATCTCATCTAACACATCTCTTAGATCTGAGTACCAACATCAACCCGCCAGTAGAAGAAAATATCTCTTCATTGAAACCATAGAAACAGCAAAGGAAATAAACAGCCACAATGGGGCACATTTGTTTATCCTTGACATTGTTTTGCTATCAACACTTTCCCAGAGCTGCGTGGTTCTCTGTACCCAGGCAGTGAGGTGGATTGCTAATCTAAAAGGAAGCAAAAAATAAATAACTCTTAAGGAACAGCTTGGGACTCTTCAATTATGGGCACACTTCCATGATGGCTTAAGAATGTCCATTGTGCATATACACTTCTATAACTTTACATAGACTCAGAGTTTATTTCAGTCCTTCTAAGGGCATCATTCCTTCATTTTGAAGGAGGAATTTGTTAGGTCTGCTTTTCACAGCAGACTGACCAAACTGACACTCCCAGACTTGCTTGTGAAGTGGAATGCAACTCCCAGTTGGATTTTGCACTTATCCGGATTTTGTGAAGCGGTTTTGGTGTGCAAAAAGTGTGCACAAAAATACTTATTTTATGTTAAAAATTCATATTTTCTGGGAAATATGTTCCTATTTTCTGAGAAAGTGCAAAACATGTACAATTTAAATGTGGACTTTTTTTTTTTTTTTTGGCATTCTTTCCAAAAAGCCCACGCAATATTGTTTTCAACTTTTTCATGTGGCTTTCATTGTATATTTTTGTTTTTTATTGCTGTAAACCACCATGATTTTTTAATTGCATAGTAATAGATAAATATTTTAATGAATAAATAATATGCAGTAGAATGGACCTGTGACTGCGCATCATTGAAACAAAAATTAGGATATTCAGTCCATCCCTAGCAATGCGGTACACCAGGAGTAGGGAACTGGAACTGACTGGTAGCCTGGATCCATATTTCAAACACCCATGGGTCAAGTTTGATGGTGGGGGCAGCGTTGCTCACCTATCAATCACCTGATGTTACAACGTCAACATATGACTTGCTTTTCACTGCACAGTTTGATTCCAAACTGCATGGGCAAAAAAAAATCTGCACAGCACTGGGCAAGCCCTTTGCACATCATTACTGAAGCAGTGACAATCAGCTGATAGCAAGCACCACAAAGCCCATTTTATCTACCTCCCACTGGGCAGATGGCTATGGCTTGGCCAGAACAAATTTGCAGGCTAATAGGGAGATGTGGTGGACCTGAGTAGACCTGCAAGCCAGAGGTTCCCCATCCATGCAGTATGCATTAGGCAGATAAGTATCACCCATGTGAAGTTCCAAAGCAGTATATACAACATAGTACAAACATATCAAACATTTGCTTCAAAGAAACCTCGGTTCTGTGACCTGTAAAGCCCTTGCTTTGGCTGTCACCTTACAATATATCTTGCATATTTCTCCCTTCTCATCCTCTCTTTCCCATTCCAAACCTAGTTTAACATCATTATAAATCATCAAACGAGTGGAGGGTATGCTTATCAGATTTTCTAGTGACACCAAACTGAGTGGGTTACCGTTAGCCAATTCCTTAGAAGTCAGATG